CAAAAAAATAACTTTCAGAAGCCATATACCCTAAACCCTAAACCCTAAACCCTAAACGCGAAACCCTTAACCACGAAAAACATAAGCTTTCAGAAGCCATCCTCCAGCCGTCAAGGCAGCAAGGGCGAACATGGAGGCGACTATCTGCAGCAGGGAGAGGGGACATTTCAACAGACCAACAACCCAACTCTCACACGGATTAGGGTGTACGCTTTCGGGTAACTCATCCCGTCTGTTTTAGGGTCAGGGTTCGGGGTTCAGGGTTCAGGTAAGAGGGTTTAGGGATTGCGATTTAGGGTCTAGGGTTCAGGGTTTAGAGTTGTTTTGGTTGGTGTTTTTTGGTGTATTTTTTGGGGGATTGGGTGTAGTTGTAGCTCTTGGCCCCTCTAACCCCCAACCCTAGGATCGGCCCTAGAAAGTAGAACCCGAAGTAGAACCCCTAATTCGGGACCCTTAAGGACTAGAGGAGGTTTCGGGTTTAGGGTTTAGGGTTTATGGTTTAGGACGAGGAGGTTTAGGGTGAAGCGTTCCATAAGGCTCATACAGGTCTAGGATACCGGGGCCGTCATAATTCAAACCAGGAATTTGAGGGGTTTTGAATCGCATACCATAGCAAACTTACAGGGACTGTGAGGTTCTGAGGGGGATACTACTACTATTTGTCCCGAGCCCTGCAGCTGAACTACTGAAGGGTACGTTGTCCGAAGTTTTGGGAAGTGTGTTCTTCTTTGCAGCCACTAGGGCTGATGGTTCTGCTGCTGCTACTGCCACCCCTGCTGCTCCTCCTCATACTCCTGCTGCTACTGCTACTGCTACAGTACTACTACTGCTACTCAGCTACTCCTACTACTGCTGCTACTACTACTACTGCTACTGTTACTGCTACTGCTACTGCTACTACACTGCTCCTACCTTGACCTTGTTCTACCCCAACCCTTGCCAGGCTTTTCAATCCGAGACGAGCGGGGCTGGACAGCCCCAGCAGCCAATTTTCTCGATGGAACCACGGCAGTGACTTCAAACAGTACTAGTAGGGCTCTACGAGTTTCAGAATGCTGCAAAGAGTTTTACCTGTTTATCAGGTTTTATCGCGCTGTACAGGATTTTGGGGCGGCTACCGTTACAACTGCTCGTGTTCCATTGTTGCTATATCTGCACATAGCCACTCGCGTCGTCATCATTACCATCATTGCTGTCGCTATCACTGCTCTTATACTTGCTTTGTCTATCCTTTACTTAACACGTGCTTCTCGGAGCTTTTGGTGTTTAGTTTTTGGGATGTTTATTTATTTTTCTTTCCGAGCGGTTCACGTCTACGTGGCAAATTACCGGTCCCCAAGGAAGCGAGAAAGGTAGGTTCTATTGGGTTAGGGTTTAGAGTTTAGGGACATCCTTCTGGCGGGAGTGTATTCTCATGTCTTCCTCTGAGAAGGACCATTGGAACAAAACCGTCATGCAGTTTCAACTTTGCAGGGAGCCTGTGGGTGTTGAACGTAGAATCTGTGGCACTAGTCTGTGTTCTCATGATGGAACTGGAGATAAGTTCCCATGACAAGGGAAGCTTTTTGTGCATTACATACATCTGTGCTGACCTTGTCAGGGACCCCAGAAGAGAATGGACATTCTGGGCCGATAGTAAGCCCGGCTTCGGGTCCATTAAAGGGCCGCAATGCTGAGTACTCAACCGTGATGCTTTGTAGTACTCAGCTATTTTTCTATACAGTGGGTACATTCGGGGGAGCCCTCATGTATAACAACCTTAAGCCTGAAGCTACTGTTGGAATAAGACATATGTTTACATGACGCGGTGTCAGTCAGTGCCTTCCTCCGCAATGCTTCATGTTTGGAGACCTTCTGGGCAAGAGCTGGCCGTGGTGAGCGCAGAGGATTTCAAGGATGCAGTGGCTTTGAAGGAGCATTTGCGCGAGCTGCATGGTTTCCCTGTGTCTTTGCAGCAGCTTCTGCATGAAGGGAATCTCTTGGATGATGGCGCAGAGCTGGATGCCACCACGGATTTGCAATTAGTGCTACTGAGCCTCTCTGGCCTTTCGCAACAGGATGGTAGAGCACGCTTAGCTGTAGCAGAGCTGACAACTGCTGCTCAATCGAATCGTGACACAGTGGTGCGCCGCTTGCTAGAATCTTGCGTTGATACAGATGGCCGGCATGCTGACGGCTCCACAGCTCTGATGCTCGCATCTGAGAGTGGTCACCTCGAGGTTGTCCGTTTGCTGCTGGCTGCTGGTGCTGAAACCGAGTCGGCAGACCCTATGGGCCGGACAGCTCTCATTCGTGCATCTCAGAGTGGTCACGCGGAGGTTGCACGTTTCTTGCTGGAGGCTGGTGCTGACAAAGATGGCTGGCAACGTGACGGCTCCACAGCACTCATGCTCGCGTCTGAGAGTGGTCACCTGGAGGTTGTCCGTTTGCTGCTGGCAGCTGGGGCTAGAACACCGATCGCAGGCTCTCGCGGCAAGACAGCACTAATGCTCGCGTCTTCCAAAGGTCACCTAGAGGTTGTACGATTGCTGCTGGAACCAGGTTCTGAAACGGACTACGACGCATATTTCGGCTGCCACAGGGCCTTAAGGCTTGCATCGGGGAGTGGACACGTGGAAGTTGTGCATTTGCTGCTGGAATTTGGTGCCAAGACGGATTGTGCAGATCCTGTCGGCAAGACAGCTCTAATGCGCGCAGCTCAAAACGGTCACGCTGAGGTTGCACATTTGTTGATGGAAGCTGCTGCCGAGAAAGATTCCGTGGACCAGTTTGGCAACACAGCCTTAATGCTTGCATCTGGCTTGACAGCCGTAGGGTTTGCATCTCAGAGCGGTGTTTTGGAGGTTGCACGTTTGCTGCTGGAAGCTGGTGCCGACAAAGATTGCTGGAATCACAGCGGTATGACAGCCTTAATGCTCGCGTCAGAGAGTGGTTGCTGGGAGGTCGCACGTTTGCTGCTGGAACATGGTGCCGACAAAGATTGCTGGGACGGTGCTGGCATGACAGCCTTAATGCACGCAGCTCGGAGCGGTCACGTGAGGGTTGCACGTTTGCTGGTGGAAGGCGGTGCTAAGATAGATTGTTGGAATCACGACGGCATGACAGCCTCTATGCTCGCATCTCGGGGTGGTCACGAGGAGGTAGCACGTTTTCTGCTAGAAGCTGGTGCCGCTCAAGACGAGCTGTCTGTGGCGGCAAAGCACAACAAATGCGCGAATCTCACGATGATCGTTATTGAACCCTAAACCCTAAACCCAAAGCTCTAAACCCTACCGTTGTTGTTATTTGCGGGTTTGGGGTGTTCTGGTTCTGGAGTTTAGTAATGATTCCGACCCCCAACGCCATAGCATCCGACGACAAATGCTTTTCTTGAGACGGTGGATCCGCGAACGTCTTGCTTCTACCGCCTATAAGCCTTAACTACACCTAAACACCACCCTCAACCCTAAACTCTAAACCGTCTAAACCCTAAACACTAAAGCACCAAACTCTTATCGACAAGCCTCGCTTCGAATACAAGAAGCATATCTCAAATACACTCTCTGGTTCACCAACCTTCCGATGGATCTCTTCCCACATGCACCAAACCACTTTTTTTGAACCCTGTTTCATGTATATCAGCCCCTCCAGCCCCAACTGTAACCCTAAACCCTAAACCCTTCTCTCTTTTCCCTAAGCCCTAAACCCAAAGCTCTTTCAAGCCCAACTTACACTTCGACCCTCACACTCCTAAACCATAGAAAACCTCAACCCTGCATCATAAATCCTATACACCCTCAACCCTGAGCCCTAAACCCTAAACCGTCAGCACCTACATATGTTGTAAACGCTAAGCTAAGCCCCCTAAACATGCAAAAAACGACAACTTCCCGAGATTACTGAGGAGATGGGGGAGCTTCCGGAAGGTGCCGAAGCCGAAGAGTTGTTTCGGGTTTTAGGGGTTTAAGGGGGTTTAGGGTTTCGGGGTTCATGGGTTTTAGGGGTTTAGGGGTTTACGGGGGCGTTTAGGGTTTCGGGGTTGGGTTTAGGGTTTAGGGTTTGAGGGGTTTAGGGCTTTAGGGGTTTAGGGGTTTGGGGGGGTTAGGGGCTTAGGGTTTAGGGGGAAGGCTAGGGAAAACCTCCTAGGCTAGCATTTTAGAATAAGGATCCTCCAAAAAGGGGTCCTGCTTTAAGTGTAGGGCCTCTAGGAATTGGAACGGGGTTTTGGGGTGTATGACCGTCAAATCTACCTAGAGTGGGAACCTGAGCAATGCTTCCGGCTTCCAGATTACAGCAGTGTGAAGGGAAGCTTTGAGTGTAGGCTCTACCTCATGGCTGCACATGATTTCATAGCGTGTTTCGTGGCTCCAAACGGTTCACGAGACTACGATCGGGACTTGCTTTGCTAGCCTTGGACCAACCCTAATTGGAGTTGTTCTACTTACAGCCAGGGTACAGGATCCATTCTAGGCGGTATTGGGTCGCCTGATCCTTGAAGGGGGTGGAACCCTAAACCCTAAACCCTAAACCCTAAACCCGCAACCCTGAACCCTCAACCCTGAACCGGGCTCCATGCTGCTTAGGGGTTCATTCTTCGGGCTTCTGCTTTGAAATTCCACCTGCTCCGACTGGTTCTGTTGTCTGGGTTCTTGTTAAGGATTTCAGGTCAAGTTAAATTACTGCGTATAGTGCCGTGTGTTAACTTCCCTGACTGTGTCGCATCCCTGCATACTCAGAAGATAGATCAACATAACCCGAAGCCCTATTCTACTTGTTCAGGCCCCTGTCTCATCTGCGGCTCCCAACAGAAGGCTTCAACCTAGGGTTTAGGAGGGCAGATGGTTAAGATACCTTGAGTCAGGACTGCTTCTGTCAAAGGGGTAGGATGCGTGCCCTTATCTATTTTCCGGTTTGGGCTCCGTACGACAAGTATAAACATGCACACCCCAAAACCCTACATTTTTGTGGGCTCCCTGAAGATTTCCTACTGCATTCCGTCATCTGATGTTCTTGAGAATTGCCGCAAGAGGCGAGTCTCAGAGCAGCAACCTCCAAAAGTTTGGGCGTCATGCGATAACCGCGTAATATAGGGGTCTGAACAACTACTAGTGATATTCCATACAGTTCTTATATAGCTATAGTACATTATACCCCAAGGTTCAAAATCGTGTTCGAATGATTAACCCTAGGCCCCTATAGTTCTAAAGCCCGTGCATGCCGTGCCAGCGCGAAAATACCGTGCTGGCCTGTACAGTGGATCGTTTCTGCTCCCCGGTCTGCGACATCCGCCGGAATAGCGAGCACCGTTTCAAGGGCTGAGCTGATTGCACCAAGGTCAGCACCAAAGAGGACAGCCGGGTTTAGTGTTTAGGGTTTGAGCATCGAGCTGCCACGAAAACCTTGATTGCCCCTCAACCCTAAACTGTAAACCCCACCCAAACCAGCAAGCCCTGAGTCCCCCGCCAATGTTTCATCACACGAAACGGGTGACGAAACTTAGGACTATTCCTAGTTCGTAAAAGTTGAGCTTTAATTAAGATTGAAGAAAACCCTAAACACTATTGCTCACGCTTCTGTGCTCCTGTGGTTCCCCTAAAGTTTGACTTCTGAGCCCTGCAATTCTTTGGGGTTCCGGCATTTTTTTTGGTTTTGGGGCGTTTTGGGGTCCAGGGTTTAGGGTTTAGGGGGGTTTCGGGTAAACGGCTTTAGGGGTGGGTTTAGGGGGCCAGGGGTTTGGGGCTTGCGTCTTTTTGGGTATAAGGGTTTAGAGGAGTTTCGGGTTGTTCATATATGCATACATATATGTATATATATGTATATATATATATATATCTCTCTCTCTCTCTCTCGCTCTCGCTCTCCCTCTATCTATCTATCTATCTATCTATCTACCTATCTACCTATCTACCTATCTACCTATCAATCAATCTATCTATCAATCTCTCTATCTCTCTATCTCTCTATCTCTCTATCTATCTATCTATCTATCCATCTATCTATCTATCTATCTAACTAACTATCCATCTATCCATCTAACTATCTAACTATCTATTCTAAAAACATGGAAAGACCCGTTCAGAATCCTAAACCCTAAAGCCTCAACTCCCAAACTCCCACAAGAATGGTAAGACCCCCTTAGAACCCCTGAAGAAGATTAGACCTTCAACCGTGCAACACGGCACCGCACTTTCCGCAGCCTTCATTGCCCAAGTGGGCCTTGGGGGGGTGCCGATGGCAGCTGTGGACGCTACCAAGGCCCTAAACTCTAAACCCTAAACCCTAAACCCTAAACCCTGATCCCTAAACCCTAAACCCTAAACCCTAAACCCTAAACCCTAAACCCTAAAAAACAAAAAACCCTAAATAAACCCTAAGGTTTCTTTCAAGGCTTCCTTCAAGGGCTCCTTTTGGTTCCTTTAAGGCTTCCTCAAGGGTTCCTTTAAAGGGTTTCTTGAGGGTCCCTTTAAGGGTTCCTCTAAGCGCTTCCTTCAGGGTTCCTTTCAGAGGCTTACTGGTTCGAGAATGCGGGTCTACATGTTTTGTACTCATGCTCTTAGAGTTTAGGGCTCAGGGGTTTAGGGTTTAGGGTTTAGGGTTCTTGCAGTACGCAGTGTATTTCCTGTATAATTCGACTTTAGTATACCCCCAAAGCTTAACTTTGGCATTCAGGCGCCTATATCAAAGTCGTTAGTTATCTGGGTTTCGCACAGAGAATATTTGGGCCTTCATGTGCTTCGTATAAAGGTTCTTTAGGGTCACAGTTTCTGCCGTAACAAAGGAGCCCCTTCAAGGAATCCGTAAAGGAACGCTTGAAGGGGTCCTCTAAGGGCCTGGGGTTTAGGGTAGAGGGAGTAGTTTCCTTTGTAGTAAGAGTTAACAACAAGCAGCGAAAATTTCCAAAGCCCTTGCCGACACTTGTTTCCAAGCCCCGAGCCTCAAACCCTAAACACTCCAAGCCCGAAGCCTTAACCCTAAGGGTTTAGGGTTTAGGGTTTAGGGTTTAGGGTTTAGGGTTTAGGGTTTAGGGTAAGCCCTAGACCTCTGCCAGGCTGCCAAGCTTTTCATGGACTTTACTGACCCATCGTCTTTGCGGACGCCCCGGGGGTGGCTTTGGGAGTTACAACAGGGTTTCATAGGGCCTTTAGAGCTTGTAGGAGTGATCCTTAAGTTTAGTAGGAGTTCCTTTTCATCTGCCTTAGAAAAAACTCCAAGCGATGATTGCAAACGGTTTATACTGCTATGTGGTTGTTGCACTGCAAGGGCTTGGGATCTGGAGTCCGGGATTTGGGGATTTTTCGGGCTTTTGGTTCATATAACCCCTTTAACGGAGGCTCGGGTTGAGGGAGCTGCTTCGGGCTTCTGGACTAGCCCAAGTTTTACACCCTAAACCCTGAACCTTACGTAAGTCACAAATGTATAGCCTCCGCCGCCAAGTGTGGCGCAGAAGTTGCGGTGATGGCAAAGCCCCGCACGCGCAGACTTCAGAGTTGTCGACATGAGTACTCCTGTTAAACAAGCAAACAAATGGATGACTTATATATATATATATATATATACACACATGTGTATATATATATATATATATATGTATGTACACATCTGTCTAAGCGGTGTATATACCAACATGCCGCCAGCAGAAGCATTCTCAAGATGTTGAGTCCACTGGGGCTCCACCGTCGCAGCAGGGAAGCCGCTCTCAAAGACTGGGTTCTTGTTAAGGGATTTAATTTAAATTACCATGATAGGGATCTACAGTAAATAATATGGTTTCCTTATTATGGTAACTTAAATTAAATCCCTTAACAAGAACCCAGAAGACGATGCCAGGACTGATGCTCCGTTTCGGTATCGTCACCGGGTTTAGGGTTTAGGGACCAGTATCATCGAACTCCAAGCCCGAGGCTGAAGAAGTCTATTCCTCAAATCCCAAACTCGAACAGACACCCTTGAGATTCATTGCCACTCTTTGTACGTTTTCGAAAAGCGACCCGAATGCGAAGGTCCTCCGGGAAGAGGGTATATGAGTCAGGGGTCTACATTCCTGTAAACCAATTCGTAACCTGTGCAAAACTCAGAAAAATTCAATCTAAAAGCTCTGAGCCCAAAATTCTACCCCCAATGCCCTAAAAACAATAACATCGTCCTAAGCCCTAAATCGCTTAGGCCAACAGCCGACGGCCACTGCCTCGATTGGAGAGCGTTTTGTGTGTGTGTGTGTGATTTCAGTGTGTTCGGTCTAGGGTTAAAGGTTTAGGGTTCAGGGTTTCCTTTTCTTGTGGCTTCTGGTCGTAGCGTCGCCCAACACCCACAGTCTAGGCCCACAGACCTTCCGTCCTTCTAGATCCGAACCCCAAAAGAATCGTTCTAGTTCCTGCAGAAACCTTTTAAAGACATCCGGAAAACATTACTTGCTAAGTCCCATGATCCCCCATAGGGGCTTTGGAGGTTTAGGGGTTTGGGGTGTAGGGTTTAGAGCCATTGTAACTTAGGTATTCAGGCCCGCGGGTTTACAGTTCAGGAGCTAAGGGTTTGGCACCTGGACTAGAGTGTCAGAATGGCTTGCAGGCGCGGGGTTTTAGCTGTACAAAATATTCAGAGCTACGCAGCGCAGCAGATCCCCCAATTTTGGATCCTATGCTGCTGCGGGGTAATTTATGGGAGCCCTCTTAAGGGATCTGTTTTTTGGATCCTTGCAGGGGTCCGCGCTTAACTGAAATAACTAGGAACTACTTCCACGCGCCTAAACCAAAAAACCCTAAACCCTGAAAAGACGGAACCTTAAAGCACCACTCAAATCCAAATCTTGACTTACAGCCGGTGCTGTTTCGCCTCATCATAGGTTGGTTTGAAGGTTGCGGGGGAGGATTGCGGGTTTCGGATGACATGCGTTTAGGGCTTAGGGGTTTAGGGTTTAGGGCTTCACGTG